AAAAACGATTCTGATTTTCTTCCAGCGACAAATGTACTGACGTCGATGTGTGTTATGCTCATGATATAGTTATTCAAATTTCGGACTAGAATGATATTGAACAGAAAACAATTTATAGAAATAATAGGAATCAAAATACACCTTTCAAAAAAAGAAATTTGATCTGGAATTGGAAGACAAAATAGTGATTGAACCTACCCTGAATCTATCATAAAAATTCCGGATGTAAAATTAGTAAATATTAAGGACTATAGATACCTCGGCGCATAGACTTGTCATGACAGATTTAATATAGGAGCAAAGAATAACCTGGGCCAGATGCGGTTTAACACAACAATGCAAATCGTAAAAAAAAAAAATATTGTGACACTATTTAGGGTTGCGTAAAATAAAACAAAAAAAAGGCGAGAATTAAAATTAGGTGATAAGAAACTATCACAAAAAGACGATGTTATTTTTTTTTCTAACAAGGAAAAGTGATAAAGATTTTATTTTCATTAGCGAAGAAAGTAAGATCTCGTATCTGTCGCGTTTGATTTATGACGGCGCACCGAGTATGGTAATGGTGAAACTTTCAGGTCGGTCAGGCGGCCTACGAAACAGAAACTGAGAGATAAAAATTAATTGGGGCGCAAAAAAAAAAAACAAAAAAAAATGTCCGTTGGACCAACCGCAGAGTTACAAAGAAAGAAAAGACTGACCCATTAGCTATCTACGGAGATGTCGTTTGGAAAATGCACCTGTTTTGTGTCAGGTGCTGGCTATGATAAGAAAATTATTTTATCGAAATGAATAATTGGCTGTAGCGCAATACGTCCAGTTAAACCACTCACTTGACGCTTGCGAAAATCTGATTGACGAACCCCAGGTGACATTCGGATAAAACTGAGATTAAGGGACCACACTACGAGTCTAAGGATTTGTTGTCCAGAAGAAGAAAGAGAAAGAAAAGAAAAAAAAAGATTTTTTTTTCTTTGAGCAAGATTTTTTAAACCGATTCTAGTCTAGCCACACCCACACTGCTGGGCGCCCATTGGCTGAATGGTGGCGTGAGCGGCTGGTGAAGGTAACCATGTGAAGAAGGAGGTGAGGCCTGTTAATGCCCGCCTGAAGGGATCGGTGTGAGATGCCACTGTGAGAGAGAGGGGAAACCCGTTGACACCCTGGGTGAGATACAAATATGAGAAAGGAAGAATTGGGGAGGACGAAAGACTTCCAAAAATGAAAATAATAATTCTTCCTGACCGAAAACAAAGAAAAACCTTTAATACGGATTTAGAATTATCAAGGAACCTCAAACCCCGACAGGTCCACCCCGGTTCTGGTCGGCGTCCGTATAAGCAGAGTCGCAACGAGTAAGAAGGCAGTTCGCAGTGAGTCCGCAGTTGGGGTTAGATAGACAGGCAAGCAGTTGCAGTTGAGCTGTGAGCTCTGAGGCCCGCCTCACAGGTAGCTGACCTAAGATTCCACGCAAGCACGACCTCAACTTCTAACCAAGAACAATTTATTTTTGAAGAACGACTTAGACTCACACCGCCAAAACGAATATCGCCTGAAGATACACCAAAACCAGTTTCTTAAAAGAACAATTTAAGATGTTAAGACTCGCCTAACAAACACAAAGTGTCACGAATCAATATTAGCGGTTTGGGAGAAAGACGCAGTCCTGTATTCAGCAATCAGATATAAAATATTGTTATCCTTTTTTTAACATATTTGAACTTTTCGAGTTATTACTTTATTTTCTTTTACATATACTTGTCCGGTGTTACCCTTGTCCGGACTCAGCTTGCATTACGGCCCGGCGACTGATTGATTTCGTCTACCTAAGATCAAATCACAACGTGGGTAGGTTAGACTAGAAGTCAAAACAGTTACTTCGGTAACCAGACGTTGGAGGCGAGCTGGGAACGACAAGGCTGATACCGAAACTAACAGATTCCTATCCGAATCAGCAAAGGGTTAGAACGTCACGTTTGGTGCCGCGACAAATACCAAGCCACATTGTTCGTCACAGGACAGGATAGGACGGCGACGGCGCGGAGACAGACGAGGTGACGTCACAACTGGCGCCGCGACCAGACAGACGTAATATTTGGCGCAGCGACACCGGGGGACGTCACAATATTAATCTAAAGTTCTTAAATAGCCTAGTCAGATCAAGACTTGTATGGACGTTATACTTAGCAACAAATACATCCAGAAATATCTAAACAGCCACATGTATACAACCGTATTCTAAAGTCAATTGTTAAAACAAAACTGTTCGAAACCTCATGACTACCAAGTGCATCAAAAGCTAAAATGGATAGCACAAGTAACTCTTAGAGAAAATAATGACACAATAAAGATGTTGGCAAATAAAATGTTAAGAAGGAAAATTAATCTAATACTGGAAAGATCGATGACAGATTCTGGCCGTGAAAAATCAATTTTCCTGAAAAATTGTTTTGAGAGAAATATTATATAAATTTCAATCGAAAGCATTACTGACAGCTCGGTCAAATAATGCCAATATATTTCTTTTGAAAAACGTTTAATAGTACCATCACCATTTGCAAAGAATCCAAGCACACCTTCTTTTTTCCGGTCAAAGTTAGAGTTGTCTGGAAAACTCTTAAATAACAGTGTAAAAGTGTACTCAATACACAATGGAAAATCCGAATAGCTATTAAATTTCAAAGACAAGTAATACTAACCACTCATAGCGAGTATTGCTTATTTATATATACATACATACATACATACATATATATATATATATATATATATATATATATATATATATATATATATATATATATATATATATATGCTCAACTCTCCCGTCGAATTCGATGTTCGAGGGTTAAGCAGATTAGTTCCCAGGAAACCGACAGCCCGACACTAGCACATAAGATTTGATTATAGTGGTGATGGTTTTGTGCAGAACCATCCACACTTTTTGAAGGGCCGAATACAGAGACCTGGTGCACGACGTGCCACAAGGTCCCCCAAACAACCCTCCGAATTGAGGTTGCCCTTCTCCCTAGACTAGTTGCCATCCAAGGCTATAGAACCTGGTATATATATATATATATATATATATATATATATATATATATATATATATATATATATATAAAGGCCTATACCCACTGAAGAAGAGGACGGCATTTAACTTTAGAAGACCTTTTCAGCAAACACTTTAACAAGAGGAAATCATTAGCGAATGGAACAAAATTACAATGACACATTTGTAAATTGGGTATGAGTAGGGAAAATTGGTTTGATTGAGGGAATATTAGTAATGTTTCGCAATTTTATACTCTGTTTGGAACCTTTTATTTTATTTTTAGTCGTCAGTTTCTTCACAATTTAAATCTATTTTAATCATGTTGCAATTTTTCAATGACTCTACAATCTAAAAGAAAAATCCTGTTTTAAACAGTCAAACAAAACTAAATTTTTCGATTTTTTTTTATATATTTAAATGTATTTATTGAATTAATTATATCCTTTTAATTTCGGAATTTTGTTATTCGGGTATTAACGAGCTGGTTTGGAATACTGACCTATTCCCTCTTAAAACCTGGTAAAGAAAAAGCGATATATAAATCAAAGTAATGAAATTTTATTTTTCACTAAAGTTCTCATTTTCGCTTGCTATTTTCGAAATGTTTCGGACATGTAACCTCAGGTAGTCTTTGCGAATCTCTTGTGTTTTGAAAAAAAAACTCATTCTCAGAGTTTTACCGTCCGAGACATTATTTCTTTGTATCTTCGGATTGATATCTTCTAATATTGGCACTGAAACCTCAACCATTGTGTTAACACGCTAAATTTTGCCAATGCGCAAATCTTTGAAATGAATGTAAGAACTTTGGCAGAGCAGGATTAAATGAAACTCTAGGATGCAACGGACAGCCTAAGAAGCCCGAAGTATATTCCACCGATATATGTCACAGCAATAAATCAAGAACAAGTTACAATTTGTCTGTGCCAATCAAAAACAAGGATTGAAACATGTCGCCTAAAAAATTCTTAGAAGAAACACGTGATGTCATTAATGAAAAAGAAATAAGAAAGAATGTAAAGAAAAAAAAACGTGAATAAAAATGGAATAGAATAAGTGAAAAAGAAAGAAAAAAAGAATTACTTAAAAGATGAAGAAATAAAATAATATAAACGGAAAAAAAAAAGAAATTATTTAAAATAAATAAATAAGAGGCAAAGAAGACAAGATTGGAAAATAATAAAGAAAGAGAGAAAAGACAGATAATTGAGAAAGAAAGACGGGAATTAAATATAAGAAAGAAAGAAAGAAAGAAAGAAAGAAAGAAAGAAAAAGAGAGAAAGAAAGAGATAAAAGGCCAATAAAATGTCAAAGATTTAAAAGTAAAAACAAAAGAAAATGACTACTTGAATTATTTACATTATTTGGACTGTTATCCTCATCTTCATTGCCGTAGTCACAACTTTTCGGCCGTTGTATGCTACGGCCTTCTTCATGTTATTGGAATTTCGAACCGAACCCTTTATTTCGTCCACCGGGGTAGATTGTTCTAGTTCCACATTCCATGCTACTTTGAATATCCGGGTTTTTTTTTTTGGTTTTTTTTTGGTTTTTTTACTCAACTCAAGTCCGAATGGCCCAGTGCTTAAAGACGTTGCTTAGATCCAGTAACTAGACCCAAAGAGTTCTGAGTTCAATACCAGGCCATAGTAGTACTGAACTAAATATTTGAGTTAAGTTAAAAGGAAATAACTGAGACATCCGTAAGACACGGTTCGAAATTCCAATCAATTGAAGAAGGCCAGAACGTACAATGACTGAACGTCATCTAAGAGATATAGACAGATATTTAAAAGACAATGAAAATAGAATATAGGCGATATAAAGCGAATGGAAACTACGAAGAACAAATTAGTAAAAAAAAGTATAATGAAAAACATGAAACAAAGAAACAATATAAAAGAATGGAAGATCCATTGTTAATAAGGAAAAAGAAAACAACGAATCAATAAAATTGAGTAAAAAGAAAAAAAGAAAGTAAAAGAGAAAGGAAGAGAGAAAAAGAGGAAGAAAGAAAGAGAGGAAGAAAGAGAGAAAGAAAGAAGGATAGAAAGCGAGAAAAAGAAAAAATGAAAGAAAGAAAAAATGAAAGAAAGAAAGAATGAAAGAAGGAAAGAAAGAGTGAAAGAAAAAAGAAAGAAAGAGTGAATGAAAAAAGAAAGAATAAGCAAGAAAGAAAAAGCTAAAAAGAAAGCGAGAAAAATGAAAGAAAGAAATAAAGAAAGAAAAATGAATGAATAAGCAAGAAAGAAAAAGATAAAATGCCAATAAAAAGTTAAAGAATTAAAAGTAAAAACAAAAGAAAATGAAAATAAAATAAGCTATAAAAAGCGAATGAAAACTAACCAAAACGAAATTAGAAAAAAAATAATGAAAAACACGAAAGAAAGAAACAATGAAACAGAATGAAAGATTTGTTGTTAATAATTAAAAATAAAACAAGAAAACCATAGAACTAAGTAGAAAGAAAGAAAGAAAAAAGAAAGAAAGTCAGAAAGAAAGAAAAAAGAAAGAAAGAACGTCAGAGATAACAATGAGGAAATGATTAAACATTGCAGTGAGCAAAGAGTCGGATTGTCCGTTTGAATGTTGGAGAATGGACGAATGCCGGTGGATGAAAGAGAAAAATCAAAACAGTTTGATAATATTGAAACGAGTTGTAGGGTAGGGTCGGGGTTCAAGGGGCGTAAATAACTGAAGCTGTTTACCTGAGGTGTGAGATAACTGGGACTGACAGACTAAGGTCCAGACAACATCTTGAAGGATTTATCTGGTGACACTGCCAGCAAAGATCCACTATCGCTTTATTTATTGCCGTCCCTTGTCCGGTCTGTGTGTGGACGAATCCGTTCTGCTCGCAACGATGAACGGCCGCAGGACAACGCTGCGCGGCCTGCCCGTTAAATTGGTCAGACGTTTTCAGATAAGACTGATAAGTCATTTATTTGAATCCGTTGGTCCATTCAGAATTGTTGTTAGTGTATTGCACACGTTCTTCTTTCAAGTCTTTTTCGACCTCTCTCTCTCTCTCTCACACACACATATATATATATATATATATATATATATATATATATATACACAATTATAGATAGGTATATTTATATATATATATCTACATAAATTATATATATATAAATATATATTTATGTATATATATATATATATATTATATATATATAAATACATATATATATATATATATATATATATACAATTATAGATAGGTATATTTATGTATATATTTATATGTATATATATATGTGTGTATATATGTATGTTTGTGGATGTATATGTGTGTGTTGATACCTATTATAAATGAGATTGTTTGTGTGTATGTGTAGGTATCGAAACTTTGGTTTGTCATTACCGCCACATGAGTTAGTCTATGTATGTATATATGCTTATGTTTATGTATTGGTGTATATATATATATATATGTGTGTGTGTATGTGTGCATAAATGTGTGTATATATGTGTAGATATATGTATATATGTATGTATGTTATATGTACTTGTTATAAATATGTATATGTATATATTTATGTTTATATATTTATATGTATGTATTTCTATGTGTATATATATATATATATAAATGTGTGTGTGTGTGTGAGTGTGTGTGTGTGTGAGTGTGTGTGTGAGTGTGTGTGTGTTGGTTTGTGTTTGCTGCCGCGTGTATATATGTGTATGTATGTAAGTACGTATGACTGTACACTTATTTCTTTAGGTATTTTATCTTATTTTTCTTCACCTAATATACAATATAATATTTGTGAAGAGAATTAAGAATGCTAGATCTCACCTGATGTTTTAATCAATTCCCTCCAAGATAGGTATTAAAGCCAATAAGACGCATGGGGTTATTGTGTGTGAAAGAATATAATAAATAAAAAAAAATTAAGAAAACTAATAGAATTATTAAGGAGAGGGAACAATAAAGAACAGGAATTAGGAAGACAGAATATAGCCATTGATATTACATTGAAAAATTTTGAAAATCAATTTTGATTGGAATGTCAACAAACTGAAGAGGTTCACACTCGAGAAAAGCTATAGTAGGAACTCTTAGCATAGTACCTACACATATATATCGAGATTTCAACATTAATAAAATCTTACCGCAAACCTGCTACTTTGGTTAAATTCATAAAGTCTACGTGCCACAGAGGAAAATTCATTCGAACAATTACCATGAAAGTATTTATAGAAAAGGTAGAGAGAAACTACGTCACGGCTATGGGAAACTGAATGGTGACGGGTTAAGACCAATAATATTAAAGAATCTTCTTTGGATTTTTTCGAAAGCTTCATATATGCACAATTAAATACATTTAATAAAAAAAGGATTATTCGGTATACTATTGAGTTAAAATAAGCTAAAGATTCTGTCAAAAATATAAATGTATATATGTATATCCTCCTAAAATTTCTATTTCATTAGATGACGGAATATATATATATATATATATATATATATATATATATATATATATATATATATATATATCCTAGAAAGTTTCTATTTCATTAGATGACGGAAAAACTATCCAGGAATCAAAAGTATTTAAATATAGAAAAATCTTCTCTATATTTAAATACATATATATATATATATATATACACACACACATATATATATATATATATATATATATATATATATATATATATATACATACATATATATACACACCCACACACACATATATATATATATATATATATGTATGTATGTATGTATGTATGTATGTATGTATGTATACATAAAGCGATCAATAGACAAGGTCGATTCCATATGAGTTTATGTGTATGTTTGTGTAAAACAGATAAAAGTTTATATTGAAACATATCTAAATTGTGCGATATATAATTGGACGTGTGGCCTTAGAACACTGGATTCGCCATCGATACTGATATAATCAATTTGATCATTCCTAGACGATGTAATTCTCAATAAATAAAATGGCCAGTTTACTATCTTGTCATATTTATCAAACACATATCATGATTTCCTAAAGCCTCACCCCCTGACATTAATAATACATTTATATATATATATATATATATATATATATATATATATATATATATATATATTTATATATGTATTTAAAAATAATAACATACACACAATAATCATTAGATTATATAAATTATGTTAGGATAAGCGACATGCGAAAATAAAAATGAAAGCCGAAACCTGACTAAGTTTAGTATACTATTCAGTGTTACAAAATATTAGATTGCAAACAATTGTTATTCGGCAGAATGAACGATGAATGTAGATAGATTGATAGAGCGAGTACGACATGGCAATTTCTTAGATCTTTGTACAAGGTATCATTTTAGAAAGGTAAATGGACCCATTAACTGAAATTCATGGTAAAAACTTTTTCTATCACATCTTGCGTCCTCAGTCGAGATTGAACTCACCAATACTTTTGATTGGTGTAGTTCATAAACTTGTCAAATAGCTGAATTCTTGATGCTTCGCTAGGGCTATCAAGGGTGTTTTTATCGTGACACCAACACTAAATGGATTGCCAACCAAGGCTCACAGAGACTCCATTCACCCTCCTCTAAGTGCAGGTTTGAATTCAGAGTTTTCCTTCTCCTAGACCAGTTGCCATCCAAGGCTATAGAACCCAGTCTGTCCTGCTAGTTACCCATAGCTGGAGGGAGAAGAAAGAGGATTCACACCTTTCCCAAGGGTGTTAGCACGTAAGTGAATGTAATGGATTCGACTGGAATTCGAACTCGGCTCTCCGATTCCTCAATTCAAGCCGCTATCCATTACTAACGTGCCTTTCTCTATAACGGTCAGTCTTTTCTCTTATTACATATCAGCTACGTGACATATTTGTCGGGTATATCGTAATGAAACCTCGCATAGATGCAAGTAATTTCTCATATTTCTCAAACGTATTTATACTAAGTCTATGGTCGAAATGAGAACTCACTTTGCCGTTTTCGTCTAGTTATATGTCCTTTACCCATCTCTTTATATATAATCAAAATAAACCGATCCTGTACAGCCATAATGCAAGTAAAGCAAACACAGACATTGCTCTTTAGTTCAGACCATATAATCCAAAGCATAATACCCGTCCAGAAAAGATTCGGAGCATATTCCAAGTTTGAAAAGATACAGGGCTTTATCCTTGTAATACAGAGCTTCCCGTGAGCGTATCCCCAGACGGTTAGAAATCATGGAAAGGCCTGTGCCTCTTCATGAATTCTCATGTATCCAACATATATAAATTTACTTTGCCTACACATCGAAATACCGTCATATTGCGTAAACATAACATTATCCGGTGGTGATTTTATATCGGCACGGGACTGAGAATTTCCTAAGATAAAATAGATCATCCGTATCAGCGAAAAGTTCAACTGATCGGGCTTATAAACGTGTTTATGGAGGGTAATATATTAAATATGACTTGTAGAATAATGATGACTTGAACTTAAAGCAAAAGGTTTCTGTACTTCCTGTACTGAAACGCGTGCAAAATGAAATTCCAACTGTTTGATAATGTGATTCAGAATTTTCCGATGATCAGAGATATTCTGATTAAAACATCTAATCTGATCTTTTCGATTTGAGCCGAATATCAGTTGTACTCAATTTTTAAACGTGTATTTAATCAAAATCCATTTACTTTGCAGAGCCGTATTTTGGGATGGAGTTGGGTGAAGGTCCATTGAGAAGTTTGTTTACTAACTTCTGACCTAATCATTCTTATTCTTTTTACAAAGTCCACATACCGGATTAATCTGTTTTGAATGTTATTTTGTAGCCAGAAATTTACATAAGGCCAATATGCAATGGGTATTGATTCATCTTAATTAGCTAAGTCTCAAAGGAAATACATACATACATACATACACATATATATATATATATATATATATATATATATATATATATATATATATATATATATATGTATGTATGTAAATATATATATATTTAAAAGTTTTAAAAAGAACTGAATTAAAATTAAGGTGATTTCATGTTATGTATTTTAAATTCGATATATCATTTTAATAAATTCAATTGATTATATTTGTTCTTTACGAGCGGATTTATTTCTTCGAAACTCAGATTCAGGATTATACTTCTTTAAACTTTGTACTTATTTATTTCCTATACCGACATATATATATATATATATATATATATATATATATATATATATATATATATATATCTTACGTTTCAGAAATAACTATAATGAAAATATCGTTTGAGACGGATACTTATCCGGCACAAATCCCCTTTCTTACATAGATATGCTACTATATTTCTTGAATTAATGACTGCAGTTTTTACTAAGATGGTTCTGTTAGATAGCAACTCATTCAGATTGGCCGCTCAGCATATTTCCCATGTGGCACAATGTCTTTCTTTTTGTAGGAATAATTTATTTTTGGGCTATTGTTCATTCAATACAAGGCCTAAGAGCCACTCGTTTTAGAGGGCTATTGAGTTGTTTTATGTACGTAAGGGAATAGGTTATGAATGGTAAATATAAATATATTATAGGGTATATAAGTGATGTGGACCCAAAGTTGGGACCACGGAAGGAAAACACGGAACACGGATTAGAGGTAAGAAAGATATATTAAACAAAAAGGTTACAAAGATAGTGGAAGTGTAAGCGGAGCTTACTATGTGCTATTGTCCAATATTGGTTGTCGTACGCGGCTGATACTACGGTATTAGAATACTCTCTCTCTTTCCTCCTCCTCCTCCTCCTCCTCTTTTTCTTCTCTCTAGAGTGTTATGTCACATACTTTGTATAGTCCTGGAAGAGCCCATGTTGTAGGTATGTTACGGTCTCGCAATAATAAGTGATGACCTTGAAACTAAAAGTATCTGATTATAATGAGCGAAAAATCATCATGTCGGAAGTTCATTCCACAAATAAGCGGTTCTTTTTGAATAACGCGTATTTATCAAATTCTTACCAATGCAATGCGTATACACATGGAATGACAGTTCTTCTGTAACTGTCTTAATTAAGCAATAAAGCATAGAAATAGCTATAGAATAAATATCGGCTGGCGAATTTGTATCTGTTGAAAACATGTTATACGGTAGAAAATAATTTATCACTTAGAAGTCTGATTAGACACTTTGAATTCTGTCTAGTCTGGAAATCCAGATAGGATAGTGATAATCTATTTTTGTCTGACCTAACTCTTGTAAATGTAGAGAATGATAGGATGACCTACATACTATCTGGATGGTAGAAAGAGTCGAACATTTCTCCAGTACCTTTAGCAATGTATCGTATATATGAGTATCACTTGAGTTTTGCGCTGAATTCTATTCTCAAAGGACGCTCAAACGAGTTCAACTTCCATAGTTTTTTAAAGTCATAGTTTGAGTTCAGAAGAAACTGCTGAACATTCGAACGATGAGGTTCCATGCAGACAAGCAGCCCTATTGCATTAAGTTTTCCTCCCGGAATGAGTGCAGTATGGCACTTGGAAAATGAGAAAAGCGACGTTTGATTTTTTGCCAGCTTTCCCAAGATGCAGTCCAGGTGTCATTTGTTGCCGAGGTGTAGAGAAAGTTGGATTGCTGCTAGAAAATAATTAAAAGGAATCTGGAGCAAGGGAGTAAAATCAAGTTTTGTGTGAAAATTGGTAAAAGTTGTAGTAATGATAACTCCTTATCCCAGAAATTCAGACAGAAGGCGATCAGATGATAATAACAACAAAGATGAGGACTATACCTTGTTAAGAATGGGTTAAGAATTCGTATGGATTTCATGGTAACGACAACTGAAACAAAGTTGGGATGAGCATGATCACGCAAAGAGCGTACAGTGAAAATAAAAAAAGAACACATTCGTATTTAGACAGAGTGCAAGTTGAGTATCTGTTTGGTAGAAGTACGTAATAGGTCTTGCAAAATGTTCAGCAGATTTTAAAAGAGGTTTGGCATGATATAAATTCATTTAGGAGATCGAGAATTCGTGGCTTAGAAATCTGTTAAAAATGATCTATTCACCTAATAAATGTGAATTATCTCCCCTGTGATTTCTGGCAAAAATAAAAAAAAATTGAAAGGACGAATATTACTGCCAGTCTTATTATATTGAAATGTATTCCGGAAATGAGTTCGAAGAATTTTCTCCTAACGACAACATCGTCTTACGAAGTGAATACCTTCACGTAAACAGTAAAGTGAAGGTAACAATAATCAGTCATGAATAGGTAAGATTTATTTGATGGGGGACATACCGAAAATTAAGTTGGCATATCTTTTATTATTTTCTGTCTCAAATTTTCTGTAGAATCCAGATTCAGATTTTGAATGAAAGACTTCATAGTGCCCATCGGATATCACCGTATCTGTTTTGCGAATTACTTTCCATCTTTCGTACGCCTGAATTTAACTATTTTGTAAGAAATACATTTCGAAAATAACATTCTATAAATTCATTATGTTATATAATCCATGCTGAAATTTTTTTTTTTTTAAGAAAACGTTTTCAGAGCACAAAAAAACTGGCTCATGTTTAGTAACATATGCCACCATAGCATTCCCAGCAATCCGTGTTAACTACATAATACCATTCTTATAGAGGCCGGTGTATTCCAGTTGTCACGTTTCTGAATCCTACACCATTATATCTACATTCAGTTTCTATTTACACTCACTTTTGATACGTATGCCGATTATTTCATTGTTTTTCCAGCAATGTCATTCATCAGCACTTTGAAGTTCACCACAAATATTTTAATGAAAGGCTTTTCATTTCCTAATGTGGTATAATGCAGTATTAACTCCTTCCCCCCACTTGGACGTGATGTGTCACAAGGTCTTTTTTAGGTTCGGACCCGAGTACGTACGCCTGCGTCAAAAATTGCCCTCAGCCCCAGCAAGCGTCGGTTGCGCTGGCTTCGGTGTAAGCACCTATCCCTCCCTCTGGTGCAATGGGAGGGCGCAGCCTCGGGCAGCTCTTCCCCAAGGCAGGGCACCTCTCAGTATAATTTCTCAGTTGCCGCTTTGTCCTTTGACAGAGCGGCAACTGAGAAAACACAGAGCGCACTATGCCCAAAAGACAGAGACGCAAATGAGAGATGATAAGCCTGCGTTGAAAATCCCTCCAATGAGGAATCTGTACGCTAATGTGGTATAATGCCTGCTCTTACCAAAATTTTAGGCTGTATAACTAATTGTTTTTATTACGTATCCTGTGATTTGACAGAATATACTATCTCATATAAATTGATGTCATTGTATACTAGGACTTCACCAAGTGGAAAGACCCTGACTCGATTGGAAAGTCA